TATATATATATATATATATATATATATATATAGGAGAATCGTTCAGCTGTTGGCTACATCAATGCAGGTAGATCAATCATCACTCTGCTAACACGTGCTCCGGCGTTATCGTACGAAACCGTAGTCTACCCGGCACATTCGCCCGTGTGAATTTCTGAGTGGATTTTTTTACAGTAAATTTCACGCCGTGATAGTTTTTCACGGAATATAACGCTGTGATTTCGGCGTGGGAGGGGAGGGGGAGAGTTTCCTACTATCCCTGAATATAACCCTGTCATTCCAGATTATGAAGGTTTCATCCCCGATTACTATGCCAGATTACCGTCCTGTCATCCCAGATTATGAAGCTTTTATCCCAGATTTCTATCCCAGATAACCATCCTGTCATTCCAGATTATGAAGCTTTTATCCCAAATTATGAAGCTTTCATTCCAGATTATGCAGCTTTTATCCCAGATTACTATCCCAGATAATCATCCTGTCATCCCAGATTTCTATCCCAGATTACCGTCCTGTCATCCCCGATTACCGTCCTGTCATCCCAGATAACCATCCTGTCATCCCAGGTTATGAAGCTTTTATCCCAGATTATCATGCTGTGACCACCAGGTTAGTAACTTGTCATCCCAGCTTATCATTCTGCAGTGTTTCTCACTAGAATTGTGCCAACGACCTCCTTATCTTGGTCACTGTGCACCGTAACCCCCTCTACTACTGTGAACTATCTGCATGCTAGGAGCCACTAAACGGGATCTTTGTTTGCTCGTTAAATTTTTAAAATTAATAAGTCGCATTAGTTTAATTACAGTGTTCAAACTTTTGCTCATAACCCTCTGGTAGAGAACTATTGACGGCATGCTCGCCCCAGAAAATTGTTGCGAAATAACACAATTATTCCGCATTTTGGGTAAATAGCTCGCTCCAAACAAACACTGACTAGCAGAACGCTAAGCGCTACTACATGAACATATGAACGCACTGGCGCCATCTAGTAGCAGCAAACGACACAAATCAACACCGCACAAATAATACATCCCCCAACGGTGCATAAGGTGCATACATGTGAAATGTAGACTGACAGTGTCCTGTTACAGAACCTGAATCGATCTCTCCACAGGCAGTGTGAGCAGCAGGTATTGATCGATCGACAGGATTCATCGTTGAATTGATTATACAATCAGTTCCACACTGATGCACATATACACACACGTGCACTCACACACGCATGCACGCACGCGCACGCGTACATAACGTACGCACCCACACACACGTACGCATGTGCGCGCGCGCACACACACACACACAAACGCACACACGCCCCCCCACACACACACACAAACGCACGCACGCACACACACACA